GTTTCACAAATCCCAAACATGGTTTTAAATATCCAGCGTGGAAGAGGAGAATAATCTATTCCAGGTTTGAGGGGTTTAGGTACTGTAGTTTTTTAATTAGAGCAGTTTTAGTGTGATCCAGATGCAAAAAAGTGGTAAAATCAACCTTTGTTGAAGTTTCACAAATCGGATAAAAGTTTCACAAATCCCAAACATGGTTTTAAATATTCTGCTATTAGAGAAGTATAATCTAGTCCAGGTTTGAAGTGTCTAGGAGTTGTAGTATTTTAATTAGAGCAGTTTTAGTAATGAAAGAGGTGCCAAAAATGGTGAAAATTGAATTTTAATAAGCTTTCACAAATCAGAAAAAGGTTTCACAAATCCCAAACATGGTTTTAAATATTCTGCTATTAGAGAAGAATAATCTAGTCCAGGTTTGACGTGTCTAGGAGTTGTAGTTTTTTAATTAGAGCAGTTTTAGTAATGAAAGAGGTGCCAAAAATTGTGAAAATTTAACTTTATTGAGTTTTCACAAATCAGAAAAAGGTTTCACAAATCTCAAACATGGTTTTAAATATTCTGCTATTAGAGTAGAATAATCTAGTCCAGGTTTGAAGTGTCTATGAGTTGTAGTTTTTTAATTAGAGCAGTTTTAGTAATGAAAGAGGTGCCAAAAATGGTGAAAATCGAATTTTAATAAGTTTTCACAAATCAGAAAAAAGTTTCACAAATCCCAAACATGGTTCTATTTCATCCCTACTGACCGCCAGAGGGCGGTGCTGAAAGCACTGAATGTTCCTTTCGTGCATGCGCTGTTCGAGCAATAATGTCAACAGAGTCACACCTGTGACACATCGGATGATCAATCAGAGGCTATATAGCATGACGTCATCCGAGGCTCTGTTCCTCTTTTCTTCTCGCGTGCGGTTCGTTTCGTATGGCATCAGCCTTTTGGATTTCTGAATCTTTTGCCGTCGTTGGACGCCCGACTGCCTGTTGGCCGGAGTTGCGGGGTATCGCCCTCCGAGGGCTGCGACGGATCTTCATTTAAGGAACTGTTTGTTGGTGATGACAGCGTTTCCGCCTCCTCTCCCAACTAGCCCTACTGTGTTTGTAAACCTGTTGGAGTTTAGCTAACGGTGTTAGCCTTTCTAAGTTTGACGGTTTGCTTTAATTGGTGACGGTAGCGTCTCGCCCCCTCTCCCAATTTTAGCTACCTTGTAAGCGGTTTGTTAATACCTTGATTGGTGACGGGGACCTTTTTTGTCCCCTCTCCCAGTTTTATGTGGAATTTTGTCCTGTCCGGACGTGGCTGACGGCGTCAGCCTCTCTGGTTTTTTTTTTTTTTTTTCGTCCTATACTGGACGTTGCTGACTGCGTCTGCCTGCAGTTGGTCTGCTGGTCTTTTCTGTAATTGGTGACGGTAGCGTCTCGCCCCCTCTCCCAATTTCAGCCAATTTTGTGATCGTAGCTTTGTGCTGGGCTTTACGGAGCCCCCCAGGGGACATGGGGAATTTTTTTTCTTTTGCGTTCCCTCGAAAAAACGTTTGCGTTCCCTCGAAAAAACTTTTGCGTTCCCTCGAAAAAACTTTTGCGTTCCCTCGCAAAACTTTTGCGTCCCCTCGCAAAACCTTTTACATTTCCTCCCTTGCATTTCCGGTTCATTTTGGAGCGGCCCTCAAGACAAGACAAGCCCACGAAACAGGTAAATTATCTTAATTCAGCATAAATACGGTTTACTTATCAATATTTAGCTTCATTTATAACAGCTATGTCAAATATTAATCGTGTCCGATGGAAGAAAAGGTAGTTCAAACATCTGTTCGCTTGCTTAAAGAAAAGAGTGACGATGCGGGGAATGCAACGTTAATTTCGTTAACGATGATGTAAATTATGTCGTTTACGACCAATTTATTAATGACAATAACTAGACTATACAACTTCATCAGGCTAAAGTGTGCTTTATTACACTACGTCAGTTGTTTGGAGGTGTCACTATTATTTATAGAACATATGGGGATTTATAGCATGGCTAGGGCTGACACCATCTTTCAAAATACAGAATAGTTTTTTTTATTTGGCAGTTAGATGTTCCTGAAATATGAGAATTATCAATGCCAGCAGAACTTTCGTGGCGGTTCGTGCTACGGTCTGATGATGCCTTCGGTTGCTGATGTCACGGTTGCAGATTCATGGCATATGACTACAGCCACCTGGAAAACATGAGATTCGAGATCCAATCACAAGGAAGACTAATGTCTACCTACCTTTTCACAAGGAAGACTAATGTCTACCTACACACTACCTTTTCGGACAATATCTGAAGAAATTATATTTTGTCTATATTCTATTGAAATTCTGTAGTAGAACTCGGTACATTATAATAGTCTAAAACAATGAAAAGAATACTAGAATAATATATTATGACAATTAAGTATCCAAATAAATGATTATAAAAGTATCAATACATAGAATTAAAAAATATTTTTATATATTTTCAACTCAATTGAAATGGTGTTCAAAGTTTTTGTCAACACCGTCAGACATAAACGGAATGTGAAAAAAATCAGGCATTATTTTGGGGCACCAGAAAGTCTGAGGACCCCATGACCACTTCCTGTTTTTCCCTTTACTATAGTGTTTCTCAAGTCCAGTCGAACGACCCCCTGCCCTGCATGTTTTAGGTGTTTCCCTTCTGCCACACACCTGGATTGAATCTGTAGGTGGTTAACAGGCTTCTGCAGTACCTGATGGTCATGCAATCATTTGGATCAGCAGGGGGGCGTGAGGACTGGAATTGAGAGGCACAGCTTTACTAGGATGGCTGGGCAGCTCTGGTGAGTTTATTTTATCTTTTTAGTTGTTTCTTTCTGTTGTAGATTCTGTCTTTTTCTCTATCTCTTAACTGCTTACACGCGGACACTGCAGCTTATATAATTTATGGTGCCCCACAGAAAAGTGACATTGAAATAATGCAATACTTATGAGTTTAAACTCTTGTAGTTTTAATTGTGTACATTGTGAATTTTGAAAGCTTTGTTTGTAAAATATGTATTTATGGACTACTTATACATCTTCCATATTGTGTTTAGGCATGGAGGAGGACCTTGAAGCCTTCCTTCGATCAAGGCATGTTATGGAAGAAGACATAAATCATATGAAAGCTGATAAGGTGAAGCATTCAGTTATAAAGTTTATAGTAAGACTAGACCTTGTTTAATTCTAAGTGTATAAATTTTTGTACAAAAAGTATGTTGGTTCATTGTGTTGTAATGGAAGTAAACTTTTAACATTGTTGTCCCGAAAGGGAAATTCTTTCCCACTGACCACTCCTTCAATCTCAAAGTAAAATGAGACCTCAGCAGAGGTGGGCAACTCCAGGCCTTGTCCTGAAACTTTTAGATGCGTCTCTACTTCAACACACCCCAGTCAAATAATTAAGTCATTAGCAGGTCTCTAGAGAACTTGACTGCACTTAGGAGGTGATTCAGCAATTTCAATGAAGTGTGTTGGACCAGGGAGACATCTAAGAACTGCAGGGCACTGGCCCTCGAGGACCAGGATTGCCCACCCCTGCAATACAGCATGATACAAAACATAACACAATCTTATATACCATAAAAAAGTACTGCACAGCATTTACTTAAAAGTTTTACTGTATTAAGTATAAATCTAATTGTAGTCTTTAAATGTTTATATCTAATTGCAGATTGACAGAGGCGTCATTTCTGTCATGAAAGATGAAGAATTTGCTCGATATGTCCCTTCGTATGGTGACCGCTTGGCTGTTATGTCATTTTGTCGACAGAGGGAAGCAAATTTCGACAAGGAAGGCATTTTAAATAGAATTAGACAAACGATTGAGACAAGGCTGATGACAAGGAAAAGACATGTTGAAGTACCCCAGCAAACAACTGTGAGAAATTCTGGCTTGATGGCAAGACCTAAAAACAACAATGCAGTAAAATCCAAACGCAGAGTTGAAGTGGGATGGCTGCATTTTCAAAGCGGAGATTTTCATCAAGTGAGGTCCAAATTTGGAGGTGGAACCAGACATCTTGCACTCGAGAAAAACACCACTGTGTCAGAAGTCATGACCATTGCAAGAGTTGTTTTTTCCTTGTGGATTATCATCAAAGGGATCCATTATGGACTTTACACTTAGCATGTGCGACTTCAAAAGACAAACTGTATCTCTGGACGGTACTCTTACAGAACTGTATGAACAGTTTAAACTTAAAATGTTACGGCTTTATCTGTGCACCAAGGACTTGGAGCATTCCTCATATTCATCAGAGGACCAAGAAGACTTTGAACAGGTAATATCTACTTAAACAAAACCGTTAAAAGGTGCCAGTCAATTCAAATGGCATTTTTAGTTTGGTATATAAAACAAATAAGAAAATGTTTTGGTTAAACAAACCAAAAAATGGTTTGGTTTGGTTAAACTAAACACAATATCAACTTCTACATATTTATAGGTTCTCAGCCATCCAGGACATGGAAAACCCCCACCCAAAAGTTTAAAGGAACTTAAGTTATAATATAAATAATGCATAATTTGTACTAAAAGAGACTGCAATAAATCAATATTTTTGAGGACTTTTAAGTGGAGTTGGACATTAAAACTTATTCTTAGTCAGAACCTTAAGTTTTCATTAAAGGTGTACCAGAGACGAGGTCTGTGACTCTGAACCAAATGCTTATCTAAACATTTGAATCTTAGTTTGACTTAAGGGTCTCAAAAAGTTGATTAATGAGAATAACACATCTGATATGCATTGCTACTTGTCATTTTTGGCCCTGCAGCTTGAACACAATACACAATTTTTACATGACATTTTATGTAAAATTTCATTGTAACATAAACATGCTCTTAACAAATTTCCCTGTTTATGGTTAAGTGATGAAATGGAACTTCCTCCCTTGCTTAACTGTATTGTTTGGCTACCCGATTGTCTCACCTGCTCATTGATGAAATGCTGTGATTGAGTTGTAAAGTAACTGGCTAAAAACCACCAAATGACTACTTTTAGCAAATGTGAAGATTGTTGTTTTGTTTTTTCTTTTTAAATAGCCTCACAATGTTGGAAGACATACTCGACACTCGACTTCTGCCCCTTCTGCTGAGCCATTAACGTCAATGAAGTCTTTGCAAGGCTATACGTCAGGAAACTCAAGCCAGCACCTTATCTCAGATGATGAAGCATCGCTGAGTCCACAACCCAAAGCTTTACCAGATGGAACTGAAGGTCATGATCCAGTGTATGTCATTGATGACAATGTGGAACTTTTATATCCTGCATTACATTCAACACCTGGTCCCTCAAACCAGGAAACTGAGTATTTCTATGCAGTTGATGATATGGAAAACCCAGTGGTAATTCAAGAAACCGAAACTGTGACGGTCAACTTCAACAACATTGACGGTCTGGATGAGATGGAGGATTCTGGAGTAGTTCAAATAGGGTCAAGGTCACAAGATGGTGATGGTGAGCTTGCTTCTACTCTTCCTATGATGGACAGTCCTATTGAGATGGAAGCCGGAAACTTTTCAGAAGTAAGTTTTTGTGTTGAGGTTTTATTTTCTTCTGTATATGATTTGTTTGCAACAACTAAAATGTACTGTTATTAATGTTATGTTCCAGGCTCCACAAACGGCTGTAGTACACATGATCCCTTCAACAGCAAATGATGCATTACCGTCTGCTACTCGAGGTGTAGTACATCCCAAAGACCCAAGGTATGCACATATCCGGCATGCCATGGTCATAGATGACCTTCTTAATTTGTTCATGGACAAAAGTATAATGGAATCGGAATTAAAAATGGAATTTAATAATGAAATGGCTGTGGACAACAGTGGAGTATCAAGGGATGTGTATACAGCTTTCTGGGAGCAGTTCTTGGAGCTCTGTGAAGGGGAGGAGGAGAGGGTGCCAAAACTCAGACCAGACTTTTCTGAAGAGAGGTGGTATGCACTAGGCCGAATTTGGGCAGAAGGACTCATTGATCATGGCATATTTCCAGTCAGGTTGTCCAAGGCATTCATAATTGCCTCTGTACTTGGTCTTCAAGCTGTAGAAGAAGTAGTTTTGATTTCCTCCTTCTCCTAAGTATTTGTCAGAGAGCGAGCGAAGTATCATTGAGAAGGCCCTCAGTGATGTACTGGAAGAGGATGAGGAGGACAATTTGTTGGATCTGTTTTCACAGATGGGGGCTCACAGCATTCCATGTCAGGAAAATGTCAAGCAAGCAATAAAAGTCATGGCTCATAAAGTCATATTGCAAGAACCAAAGTACATCATGGATTGCTTTTGAGATTTTCAAAAACATTGATTGCATTGAATCTGTCTCATCCAGCTGATGTCCTTCATTTATACGACTCTAAAAAACCAACAAACAAAAAAGTAGTTGACATGCTGCAAACAGAGGCTTTGTCCCTATCACAAAAAGAACAGACAACATTTACTTACTTGCAAAGGTATATTAGGAATGCAGATCAGCACAAACTAGAGAAATTCTTGCGATTTTGCACAGGTTCGTCAGTTTTATGCACAGAAGAAATTAAGGTGACCTTTAATGCTGAAACAGGTTTTGGGAGAAGACCTGTTGCACACACATGTGGAGTAATCATTGATGTGCCTTACACTTACAGTTCCTACCCGGAATTTAGAGCAGAGTTTGACAGTATCTTGGCAAGCAATTTCATGTTGATGGATATTATTTAAGCTTGAAAAGGTAGTTGACATCTTTGCTAAAATAAACACTCTATTTTGTATTATCATCAACCATGTTCATGATGCTGTGATTGTTAAACTGTGGTATTCCATTTTCAATGCTTAAAAGCTGTGCAATGTCTAAAGGTTTGTTAGCATGAAAAACTAAAGGGTAAACAATTTCCAATTTTGGATCATTTGCAGAATTATAATAATCGCCTGTTGCAATTAGACCAGTAGTTGGTTTTCACATTTGTTGAGTGAAATTGAGTTCCGACACTCAGCTGAAATTTTATTTGGATGTTTTAATAGTCCAGATGTTTACAGAAAAATGCTTGCAATACAACTAAATTCAGAGTTTGACAAGTTCATCAAAAATACTTTTTCTTTACCCTTTTCTGTTAGTATGAACAATGTTGACAACATAAGATAACACTTGTTAAAAAGATGTTTCTTTTAAAATGTTCTACCTCAATGTGAAAGGGTGTGTTTAGGAATTAAACTAAAGTGCAAACAAGTCCCATTTTTGTAATTTTGACAGTTTTATCCAATGGTTCCTGCTCATATTTGAGCAGTACAGTTGCTGTATTTTTGTCTTTATCCAAGTAGGTTTTGAAATTCTTAATTTTAGGTGGTTGTATGAAGTACACAAGAAAAATACTTAAAACACAACAAAATTAAGAGGGTTTGTAACATCCGCTAACTTTGGTTTTCTGGTGACCTTTGTGTGTTTTTTGCTTTAGTGGAGGGACCCAAAATGTTTTCTTAAGCTATTATTAAAAATGAAGTAATATTTGTATTGCAAAAGTTTTATTTTTGATACATGTTTTGATTTACTGTGAATGTTCACAATAAATGTTTACATAAAAACAATGATGCAATTCGTTTCCAGTGCTTTATTTAAATTATGAACTGTATTTGCAGGACTTTCTAGTAATTTGATTTTTCAACAGCAAGGAGATGTAATTTAACTGACTTTTGCATTTTGCTAAATAAATCCAACACATCAGGACTTCAACAGACAAATGTTGTCATAGGAACATTTAGTTTCCTGCTTCAATTTTAATACATTAGATAAGTGCAAAATTACAGCATTAGAAAGATGTCTATGTTGCAGTACTAAATAGATTTCCTTGTGGAAAACCAAAAGAAGAAACAGTCTAGTTATGACAGTAAACGATACAAGTCAGAATATCCACCCCAAAAGGATGTTATTGGTTTTCAAACTAATCATTAAGAAGCAAAGAAAATTGAAAGGCAAAAAATAAAAACTGTCAGATAATTTGCAAGTTTAACAGTTAGAATGCATGATAAACAACCAGCTTAGTTTAAGATGTGGAACCCCAACATGGCAGGCTCTTTCCAGTCAATACTCACAGTAATGATCTAATGGCATCTCTGAGTACCATGTACAGAATCACAGAATAGTATGGATCTGATGGCGTCATCAGGCCAGACTTGCCATTAAAACATTGCAAATGTCATTTACAGCTGAATCACATGGTATGGCCTGCCGAAAGGTGCATGCATCTCTACACAGTTGAACATGTTCAACTTGAATAGGAGTGAGGAAGTCTGTGGTACTGTACAGTTCAGGTAGAGCATACATCACATTGGGCCGACCGCTGGGAACTTGCAAGTTTTTGGATGGCCTGATGTGGTGTGTGTTCCATACTTGTGCTGTGTCATCCAACTCATCCTGTAACAGATAAAACAGAAACATTTAGTACACTTTTGTTAACCTCAGCTGGAAAAAAGTATTAGACATAGTCATTGTCCTTAATTGTCAGTCCTTATTTGGTGTACTGTAGCAATCACAGCAATAAAATCATAAAAGAGGAAGATTGGATGAAGATTATTGCATTTTGGAGGTTAATTTAATTGTAATTAGAGCAATTCTTTGATGGTGTAGAATCACAATCTCTCAATGACACACTACCCTGTCTGCAAAGCTTTGTGTGGGACTTGCACCAGGAGAAGAGGTGAAATGTGTAGGCTACAAATTAGAAATGGGGTTAGAAACATTGCAAATAGAATAATCTTTCATTCGTTGCTCATTTTATTTTTTTTATATTCAGTTCGTGTGTTCTGTTTTTTCATAATTGCTAAATAATATTTAGGTAATTTCAGACTTGCCGTTTAGAACTGTCATTCATGCATTTACAGTTGTAGTCATAGAAATAAATTTTTTGGTGACATTTCTTGGACGAATTGATTTTTAAAATTACTTTGGTATCTTATTTGACGTTTGATGCAGTTAGAAACTTGATGCCTATTCAAAAGGTAACTATTGACTTAAAAATAGTTCACTTTTGGTTTAAAAAATTATAGCCAATTAAATTGTATCTTTTAATAGAGGTTTAAATGCAGCTGTCAAAAATGATCCGTTGTTGCTGTTAAAATGTAAAATCTCACCGTTCTACCTGCTCTTTCGCGTTCTGACATTAAGGTAGAAAAAGTAACCGGTGCATTTTCAGCACCACGGAAGTGTGAACAGCGACCAGGAAAAAACAACAGCTAGAGAACCGCTGTCATTATATCATAATTTACCACAAATAAACAGAGACATCTACTCCTCTTTGTAGAAAAAGATCACATTCATTTATGGGTGTGCGCTCGTCATGCATTATTTCCATTTTCAGTAGAAAGTTGATGTGATAAAAGTATGCACCTACGTCACAAAATTGAGCGTGCGCCTGACATTCAAGTTTTGTACGAACAGAATACTAGACAGTGAATGAAACAAACAACCAGTGGCATCTCGCCCACATGCTGATTTTAATGTTGTTGCCTTTCAGATTTCCTTCCTCACGTCATATCTTATCCATCATATATTTGATTCAATTTACTCACCTGTATGAGTCCCATACAGCAAAACTGCTGAATGTTTTTGTCCAAAAATCCACCATCAAAGAATCCATTGTCTCTGATGTCAGCAAACAGGGACAGCCAGAACTCCATACACTCCGTACGCAGAAAGCGCCACCAATATTCAATCCTTTGATTTGCACTGCTTGCTCCTTCGAGGTAACTTTGAAGAGGGTC